ATCTGAATGAACAGCAGAGATAGTCATCTTACTTTCTGCAAAAGAAAACAATTTAAATTGTTAGAAAATTTGAAGTACACTGTCTTATGATTCGCCTTCCTTTTTTCCTCACACGGTCTGCGTCGTATTTAAAAAGGATTCGGCCAGGTTTTTCTATTTTGGGACTGATTGGTTTTTATATGCAGCGAGGCTAAAATTACGTGTACTTGCTCCTTATTTTCCAACTAGAGGAGATAGTGAACGTTTAAATTTAACGTGATACTTGATAGCCACTATTAATAAAATAAAATAAAAACATCAAATATCAATTTGGACGTGCTAAAATAGTAGCATCCTCTGCTCTCATAGTAATGCATATATATATATATATATATATATATAAAACATTGATGGAAGTTTAATGAAAATGATTAAATTGAAAAATGGAAATTATAAAAAGTCATATAACAATTTGACATAGCACAATATATATATATATATATATATATAGTTATTTTGTGGCGGTAAGAACTTTGACCGAATTAACTATTGTGGGCTTTGTTATAAAAGCACTCATTTGGATTGCCAGTCCTTATCACTCTCTACTCAGTTAAGATTTTGATAGTTATCCTTCCTTTATTTCTTAATATAATAGTTAGATAACTAATATATAAAAATTAAAAAAATTAGTAGCCTTCGTTTAATTTGAATCCAATTCCTACCATTTTGGATTTTGCTTCAAAGAGAATATGAGGACTCTCTAGTTTATGCGTATGAGTGTAATGGCTCCCTTAATAGTGATTTGTTTGGTGAAAACAACATGCTAACATTTGATAATTAGCTTGGATTTAAAAAAAAAAATCACCCGTATTATTACGGACATCTAACACATTTCTCACGCATAATTAATTTTCTTTCCTATTTTTCTTTTCGCTCATTAGGTTTGCATCGTATTTTTAGGTGCGACACTTGTCTTATATGAAATTTATAGAAAAAATTTTAATTTTTATAAAACGATACTTGTCCTATATATTGTTTGTTCATATCTAAATAATTTATTTATACTCATTGTGCACATGAAACATTTACTAAGAAAAGTACTGGAATTTTCAAGCATGGAAAGATTCCTCAACAACATCGACCAAGAGGAACCCGTCAGATTCTCACCGGAGCAACTTGGCCAAATCACAAACAACAACACCACTGTTCTGGGGTCTGGTGCTTTTGGAGAGGTTTGTAAAAGTGAATTGTCAAATGGACAGCAAGTTGCAGTGAAAGTTCTCAAAAGTTTGGATCCTGGGACAGAAGAGCAATTCAAAGCAGAAGTTAGCACTATTGGAAGAACTTACCATATCAATGTAGTTACGCTTTATGACTTCTGCTCCCACCGTGACAAGAGAGCTCTTATATACGAGTTTGTGCAAAATGGGTCTCTCAACAACTTATTATTTGGCAGTCTGAGCACAGAAATCCAGTGTGGGAAGCTTCATGAGATTGCAATTGGAACAGCAAAAAGAATTGACTACTCACATGAAGAGTGTCAACAAAGAGTCATTCTTTACGCTATTAAACCGGAGAATATACTTCTGGGCCTGAACTTGGAACCACAAGTTGCAGACTTTGGTCTTCCAGTCTGTCTAGTAAATAAGCCTTTTTAACCCGTCCTATCAGGTCCGCATAACCAGTCCAAAATCTTCTCACCCTCCTCATCAATTCCAATTCGATGACCCTCTTCTGTTTTTTTTTTTTGTGAATGAAACTGAATAACAATTCTCGAAACAACAAAATAAGAGAGAGCAAGAACCTATCGTTCATCAACCTCTACCTGTTGGATAAGAGGGGGAGGATAATAAAAAAGCCAAAAATTCCCTTCTAACCTATGAGAAAGTTTTGCTAAACTATCGGCAATGGTCATGTCCTCTCTTGGTACATGAGAAACTATGACCTGCCAATCCCTGTTAATCAACAACCTAACATCATCAATAATGTCCTTGAAAGGATGGTCATTATTGCATCCTCTAAGAGCAAAATTGATTGCAGCTATACAATCAGAAAATAAAATAATTTTCCTTCATTACATAATATTGGCACCATCTGTCAATGCTCATGCATATAAAAGTGGTACGTGAACCGTAATTCATGGTGTTTGATTCCACAATATAAAAGTAGTACACAAGAGTATGACAGTATAAAATCAACGATTGCGGCTGGGAATATTATTTCTTCATTACATGTATTGGCACCATCTGTCAATGCTCTTGCATGAAAATAGTCACACTTTTACGGATGTGGGCTGTCTTAAAAGGTACTACCTGCGATCCTTAATATAAGACCCCGTTTGACTTTTGTGTTAGTCCTAAATATGAGACTCCAATCTATTTTGTCTATCATATTTATTTAATTTTTTTCAAGATAGTTCTTCTAATAATTATAGTTTTAGCTAACATACTTGATTAGTAAGGATATTTTAGGAAAGACAACACTTATTTATTACAAATAACTTACTTAACTTCTTTTCTTAATTTTTTCAAATTAGTCAGGCTCTTATAATTAGGACCGAAGGTGGTAGCTAGTATTGATTTACTTTGGTTGTTTATTGCTAGAATTGGATCTAAAGAAATAGAAAAGGACGCAAGATTCTTATATTTGAGGAACCTGAAACTTACTCCGTTTGGCATATAAAAAACACTGTATAACAGTGTTCAAGTATGCTCAGGTAAATTAGAATTTTGTACGAAAATTGAAGTATACTTAAGTAACTTGGAATATATTTGAGCAAATTCCAATGTGATGAAAAAAATTCAAATTTTTTTGAGCAAATTCGAATTTAATAAAAAGAATTTGAATTTGCTGCATCAAATTCGAGTTTGCTTGCTCATTTTATTATCATATTAAAGTTTAAATTTTATCGAACATAACTTTACAAATAAGAACTTTTTTATGAGAATAATATTTATATTTTTTATGAGAATGGTATTTATATTTATATATTTTTTCATATTCAAATTGAGTATTTCTTTCTTTAATATATTTTATTTACACTTTTTTATTTAATTTTTTAATTTATTTTTAATCATTTAATATCTATAATGATTTTTATATTTATATTGAACATCCATGTTTATTTAAATTATAATTTATTAAAATTTTTAATAATATTATTATTCTGTCAGATTAAAAAGCACTTTTATATTTATATTGAATATTCATATTTATTACAAGTGGAGGGCTTGGTATTTCCTCTTTTAAATTTTTTTAATAATACTAAATTATTTTATTAAGGGCAATATGATTAATTTGGTTTATTTTTTCATTTTTTCATCCAGCTAAATATAAATTTTTCATTGAATCAATTTTAGTTTCTAGTAAACATTCACTTAGCTGGAAATTTTTTTTCCTCTTTCTTTCAATTCATTTTATTCCAATCTATTTTTAAAACCAAACGGGCCTTTATGATCTGTCTTGTGGATCCCTAGACGTTTTATGGAAAAAATTAAAATGCATGACAACCAGTCGAAATAAAAAGTGTGAGGAAATTACTAATGAAATTACCTAATAAAATTAAATGAGTATGCCAGAGAAATATCGACCTATGGGAGAAACTTTTGTCACAGTTCGCAAATTGTATATAAATTCATTAAAAAAAAAAAGGATGCCTGAAGAAGTTGGACTCTGAGGTGGAACCTCCAATACATAGTATGACAATAGATTGCGCCTAAACGGATACCTTTCCTAAAATGAATCCATTCATTGTTTAAAAAAGTTATGGTGGTTCAAGCGTCAAGTATACGCTATTTCTCAAATTATTTTGTGATGTGTATTTTTTCATCCTAAATTATTTCCTGGTGCATCAGCTTAAATTATAAAGTGTAAAATTGGACTAAAAAATATTTTAAAATACTAGATGTATCTGAAAAAAAATATTTCAAGGTACTAGATAAATCACAAAATGCTTCTGAATATTAGATTAGATATACCTGAAAAAATATTTTAGGGCGCTAGATGCACAATTTCTATTTGAAAAGAAAACAATGAGATCCAATGATAAACTTTATTTGTACGGAAGATTCATCCCAAATTCTGAATAATTAGTTTATTTTACGCCTTTTTGATGTGCTTGAACGTGGTTATAGAGTCAATAGAGATTAATTCAATTAGTAACGATTTGGCCTATAATTTAATTTATAAGATTTTGAGTGAAATATAGGTACCTTTAAAAGCACTCTTTTGACTTAAAAGCACATCTTAACTCTAATAAGCTCTTATAATTTAAGCATTTAACTCACTGGAACTTTATATGGAAAAAAATAGCATTCCTTCTATTCTTATTTATAAGAGACTTTTTTTTTTGAAAAGGTATGTTCTTTTTTATAAAAGACATTTTAAAATTTACCCTCAATTAATTATATGTTTCTCTCTCTCTTTTTTCACTCATTCTTTCTCCCACCCACATTTTCCATGAATAAGGGTGCTTTTGAAAAATAAATTATATCTGTTTTACATATTTATTACTTTTAACTAATTTTAGCTAACCTTTTGATCAATATGATTTGATGAATCATCTTTTACAGAATGAAACAGAGAGAGCGGTGGATAATAACTACTAGGTTTACGTATTCTAATGAGCTATTACTGCTCTGCTAGCAAGAGGAAGATGATGAGAAATGAAATTTCCTTATTTCCGTTTTTTTTTAACAGAAATTTTAGCTAAGTGTACAGACTCAATCTAAGCTGGAGAGCTCGATCCAACTCTTCCTAGATCGTACCATCTCCATGCAAAACACGTTATGGGGCTGTACAGAAAAACGCGTTTACGGGGCCCTAATCGTCAGATGCTCGTATCCACCATCATGTTACCGTAGGGGTTTTATGTTTACATCTCATACACCTCTGTCCATTGGCTTGCTCTTTTCCGCCATTATTTATTCATTCATTCTAAGTTTCCAGTTTTAAGAATAAAGATTATTTTAGTTTCGAGTCTCCTGCGTCGTTCATTAATTAACTCAAGCAAAGATTTTCCAATGCCGTATTTTCCTCCGTCTGGTTCTTGTGTGGCATGGTCAACGGCTGGGTCTATTGGTATGAAGCTACTACTCTCTTCATTCATGGTTTATTTTATGCTTATATTTTGAACTGAGGAGTATAAACGCATAAGGCAATTGCCCGTGGGTCCCCACGGCCTTGCTTCAAAGCTCAAAATGATTAAAACTAAGCATTTACAGAGATAATCTTGATTTTTCAGAATTTTTCTTTTTAATTTAGAATCACCTGTTTTAGTTTTCTTTGATCTTCTTGTTCCATTTTGATTTTCAGTCACAGCGGTGGTGGTTATAGCCATTATAGCAATAGCATATGCCGTTACTAAGTGCATGAAGAAAGCACCAACAACCCAGATTTCAACAACAGATCATGACAATAACATGCATTCTTCAAACAACAAGGAAATAGTGTTAGTAAAACCGCCAGATTCAGATTCACAGGTACTGGAGTTTGCAACCGTGGAAAGATTCCTCAACAACATCAACCGAGAGAAACCCATCAGATTCTCACCTGAGCAAATTGAAGAAATCACAGACAACTACACCACTGTTCTGGGGTCTGGTGCTTTTGGGGAGGTTTATAAAGGTGAATTGTCCAATGGACAGCAAGTTGCAGTGAAAGTTCTCAACAGTTTGGATCTTGGCGCAGAAGAGCAATTCAAAGCAGAAGTTAGCACTATTGGAAGAACTTACCATATCAATGTAGTTATGCTATATGGCTTCTGCTTCCACCGTGAAAAGAGAGCTCTTATATACGAGTTTGTGCAAAATGGGTCTCTCAACAACTTATTATTTGGCACTCTGAACACAGAAATCCAGTTTGGGAAGCTTCATGAGATTGCAATTGGAACAGCAAAAGGAATTGCCTACTTACATGAAGAGTGTCAACAAAGAATCATTCATTACGATATTAAACCAGAGAATATACTTCTGGGCCAGAACTTGGAACCAAAAGTTGCAGATTTTGGTCTTGCAAAACATTGTAGCAGAGAAAGCAGCCGCGTGAATATGTCTCAGTTCAGAGGAACAAGAGGGTATGCTGCACCAGAATTATGGAAGTGTTATCCTGTGAATCATAAGTGTGATGTTTATAGTTTTGGCATTGTCCTCTTTGAGATTGTAGGGAGAAGAAGGCATTTTGATTGTGGCTACAGTGAATCACAACAATGGCTTCCAAAATGGACATGGGAGATGTTTGAGAATAATGAACTACCAATGATGATTTCGCTGTTTGGGATTGAAAAAGAGAAAGACAGGGAAAAAGCCAAGAGAATGTTAATGGTGGGCCTTTGGTGTGTTCAATATTTGCCCACTGATAGGCCTCTTATGAGTAATGTGGTGAAGATGTTGGAAGGTGATATAGAAATCGCTGCCCCGCCATTTCCCTTTCAGAACTTGGGGGCTGCTAAACCAAGTTTTACACCAAAGGGAACCGATGCAGATTCAGATGCTTCTTATTCAGTAGTGGCAGAACCTTCTGATGAGCAATGCAGTTCTAAACCGGTGCAAAATATATATACCGTATAGAAAAATCTACACAGACGTATGTCACTTTGTATTAGTATGTTACGTTACAAGATGATGGGAAGTTTCTTTATTAACTTCTACTTCATGAGTTGTAGAATCTTCTCAGCAATTCAATTCTCAACCAGTGCAAAATACAACGTAGAAAAATCTACACAGTCGCATGTTATGTTACGTTGTGTTAGTATGGTTCAAGGTGATGAGAAGTTTCTTTTCTAACATTTACTTATTAAAATATTCTGAGTCTGTCCAAGAAAGGGGGAAAAAAATTCGTGGTGTGACAGACTGACAGTATCATTGCTTATCCTCATGATTGATAAGCACAGATATGGACCATCCGATTTTAAACTGGGTTCCAGCCCATGCCATGCGCAGTGTAACGCCTTTGACAAAGACTTTGTCTTTCTTGGTCGGAAAATATGTCGTTGTAGGTAATGCCTGGTCTTCGCTCTTCACAGGCTCTTCACAGGCGGGAACTCTACTAGAGGAGAACAGCAGACCAAGAAGTTGACGGGTTTTAGGCTTCGCCCCCCAAACTACAAGTCGTTTTGACCTTTTTAAAGAATTCGCAAGTCCTTGTGAAGAGAGATGACTGGTCTCTATCAACAAAAAGAGATGACAGGGATACTTTAGCAACTGGAACTCTCAGTCTCTCATACACTAAGCTAGAAATAGTTAAAGACTAAAAGCATCATAACTTTCTTAATTAAACATTTTTTATGTTCATTCTTTTAGCATGCATCATTTTTCTATTTTAACTTTTGATATATGTACATTATTCTTAAAATTAAAATATGAATATATGAAAATGCTCAATTGAAAATTATTACAGGAAAATTTTAAAAAAAATACTTGTTAAATTTCAAAATATCAAATCAGAAATTATTACAAAAATATGTTGTTATTTACTTTTCAAGTTTGCTCAATTGCTATTAAAGTGTAGTAAATAAGAGAAAAAATAATAATAACAAATAATGAGGGAGAGGTATTTTTATAATTAAAAGTAAAATAAAAATATACTAATTGATGAAAAAGGGCATTTTCCTCTATTATTTTTATTTTTTAAGCCTTCATGCTTTTCTCGCATTTGACAATAATGTCATCAAGTATTCAAGTTGCAATTTTTACTTCAACGGCCCCCAGTGTGTCATCTTCCCTAGTAAAGACAGTTACAGTATGTCTTGGTGTAATGTTCCAAGATTCTTCTGAATGCTTTCTTCCTACTTTGAACTTTCGTCAGAGCCGCCTGTTTCGAGTACTTTTCCCACAACATTCATTCACTATCCCCAGTTTCAAAGGAACTGTTACTTCTGATCAATATAAGACCCTCCTGATCATCATCTTCGCACTCTTTTCTCATCTGGGTTTGAGTTTCATAAACCACAAATCACATTTTCTCCGATCGACTTTCCTTCATTAATTCCCAGAAAAGTCTCAGGTACGGTTCTTCTCATCAACGTCAGCTCACCAAAACTTCAAAGCATAGTCCTTTTATTTCCTTTAATTTCTGATTACTGATTAATTATATATGCTTAAGATCCGATCCATCTGGATTTTGACCATCGCTAAGTATTATGTGTTCCATGGTAGATTTAACGGCACGACAATCCGAGTGAGAAACACAACACTCCAGGTTCAATGGACAGGGTGCCAATTGTTTGGTGGCAACTAGATCAGTCATGCCATCTCTATGGAGGGAAGGCAGTCGCACTATTATCGCGCTTAAGATTTAGAGCCTTTTAATTGTTCCTGGTTAAAAAAGAAGAAGAACTTTTTAGATTCAGTTGTTACTATTAGTCCACTTCATTCTTAATTTAAATTTATCTTTCTTTCTTTTTTTGGGTTAGACTCAGCACCAAGTAGTCTTTTCATTTATATTTTAATGACATGTTGATAAATGTTCTGGGTACTCAATTAACAATTTGATGATTTCAGATCTTCTGTATATTTTTTTGGTGTGCGGCTTATTGTGGTGCCCACGTGGTGCCCACGTTTTGTAATGGGTGAGGGCGGTTTGGTCTTTTCTTCTAAGAAAATAATCCCAATTTAGTCTGCTGGTACCAAAACGGGATTTGTGAAATTCGGCAGACGTTTTTGGGCTTCTGGAGTTAGAGGTGCATTTTTATGTATATGTAATTGATTGATTCGGAGTGCACTTAATTTCCAGCCCAATTCTATCGCTCTAATTAGACTGGGTCTTTTTTTTTTTTTTTTGTGTGTGTTTAAACTTTATCATTCAATTCAATTCAAGCAACATACGGTATTAATTTAAATGCAAATTACTTCAAATATCAGTATGGATATAATCAACAGGGGTAAAATAGAACTCATCTTAATTATTTTGGATCTCATTCTACATGTGTCTTTTTAATTCTTCATTTCTTTTTTTTCATTCATTGGTTAATTAACTCACTTAAAAGAATTTCAAATTTTTTAATGCGAATTGAAGTGACTTGAAATCGAATAAGAAATGGTTTGAGTAATAAAAAGATATAAATTTAAACTAAATTTAAACAACTCTGCGTCAAATTCTTGAGACTTAAGTAAGTCATCTAGACGCGATATTTTAACGAAGAACATCTTTTCTTGAGGTGGAATCTTCCCATGGTTAATTAAGAGTATATGAGTTGTTGAAAGTTTTATTTTCGTCACTTGATTATGTTGGATGCATTGTTTCCTGGGTGTGGATACCTTAACATTGTTTTGCTGTTGAACTTTTAGCAAAGTAAAACGTTAGGGAAAATTGGTATATAACTTTAAAAAATTAAAAAAAACATGTTTCTTATTTTACAAGAATTCAATTATTAAAAATTGATCACAGTAAAAAGACAAAAATTTTGCTAATAACAGTTATTAAATAAATAAATAAATAAAGCAAGAACAACTTCACCACTATGGCACTATGCCCGTCAAGAGATGAAAGGTGAGGCAACCATGTACAAATCCAAAAAATTTGAAGTACCAGATTTATTCATATATATCACATGTAACAAAAATTAACACCATAAAATATGAACGTCCCATGTAAGGCACAAATTCTGGTTAATTTCCGTAAGTCATACGTTATAGAATATTGTTGCCTTATCATGGCGCCAAAATATTCTCAGTAGTCTAGTAGTCTCCATGCTCTCATATTCAAAGAAAATAGAAAAACCTCCATAAAAACAAAACAAAAAACAAAAGCCTACCCTCTGTTGAATGAGTCGCTTCATCTACAAACGCGTTTTACGTGAAACTTTGCCTTTTGCCTGGATATAGTGGCCGGCAGATTCTTATTTGTTTCGAAGTCCATAGTACTCCTTATTTTGCATCCACACTTCAATGGCCTTGGCTCCTGAAACTTCACTTTGAATTTTCGCCTCCTAGTTCACAAATATGGCTTCTGGTGTTGTGGTAGGAATTGCTGTTGTTGGCTTCATGGGTAGGACTTAGACCTATGATTTGCTTCTTTGCCGTGTGATTTTCCGTATTTAATTTTTTCCTGTTGTTTCTTGTTATGACTTGTAACTGAGATAATTCTTACCCCATCGCAGTAATTCTGACTGCGATTTTTTGGAGCGCAACTATGTCTTGTTACCTTCGTCGGTCCCAGGTTATTGCACACCAAGAATTTCTGACTTACACTATGTACAAGTTTCTGCATGAAATGGAAAGGGAAAAGCCAATCAGGTTCACCTCACATGTTCTGATGCTTGCAACTAACAATTATTCCAACATGTTGGGTTCAGGTGGTTTTGGATCAGTCTATAAAGGGACTTTCAGTGATGGAACCATCGTGGCTGTGAAGGTTTTGAATGGGAGCTCAGACAAGAGAATGGAGGAGCAGTTCATGGCAGAAGTAGGCACAATTGGAAGAGTTCATCATGTCAATCTACTTCGCCTCTATGGATTTTGCATAGAAGGGAATATAAGGGCACTAGTTTATGAGTTCATGGGCAACGGCTCACTTGACAAGTATCTATTTAAGGAAAACCAGAGGTTGGAATTTAAAAAACTTCATGAGATTGCAGTTGGAACAGCCAAAGGAATTTCTTATTTGCATGAAGAATGCCAACAGAGAATTGTCCACTATGACATAAAACCAGAAAACATCCTCTTGGACGACAACTTCTATCCTAAAGTTGCAGACTTTGGTTTGGCCAAGCTTTGTAACAGAGAAAATACTCATATCACCATGACCGGAGGTAGAGGGACTCCCGGTTATGCTGCTCCGGAGCTCTGGATGCCATTTCCAGTAACTTACAAGTGTGATGTTTACAGCTTTGGAATGTTGTTATTCGAAATCATAGGTAGGAGAAGGAATCTTGATGTTAACCTTACAGAAGAAAGTAAAGAGTGGTTTCCAAGATGGGTTTGGATCAAATTTGATAATGGAGAACTTAATGAAATGATAAGAGTTTGTGGAATAGAGGAGGAAGATAAAGAGATGGCAGAAAGAATGGTTAAGATAGCTCTTTGGTGTGTTCAGTATAAACCTCAACTGAGGCTTATGATGAGTGTTGTGGTGAAAATGTTGGAGGGTTCAGAAGAAATCCCAGAACCTGTGAATCCTTTTCAGCACTTCATGGATGGAAGTTATTCTGTAGAATCGGTTCAGGCAACACAGACTGATACTAGTTTTGCTTCTGGTTCTTCAATTACAGCATCTAAACCTAGCACTGTGAATGCTACTCCTATCATGAGTAAGTATGAGATCCAAATAGCCTCTAGCCAGGATTAACACAAATGCGAGTAAAGCCTTGCGATAAATTATTTTCTTTCATGATTTGCTATTCTGTTGGATCTACTCTGTTCCTAAAAGAAATAGTTTATTTACCCCTCCCCCCCGGCCCCGAATTTTTCAGAAGGAAACTTTGATGAATTCAATGTACATGAAACAAAGAAGAAGCTTTATATTTAAAAGGCAATAGATTGGACTCAAACAGTAATATCACGCACCATCTATCTTACATCACTCAAAGGTTCCATTTCTAGGTGCTTGACTTGAACATTGTCAAAACATGCTTCTTTGCAGGGTGTATGTATGGCTATATCAACGCAAATGTTAATTTGAGTGAAAACTGTGAAGTTTTGTTTTTAATGCAAAAGAATGTACTACCTCTTGTCCTTAATATAAGACCTTATTTGATTTTTATTTTAATTCTAAATATAAGACCCAAACCCACTCTGTCTCTCATATTTATACATTTTTTCCAATGTAGTCCTTATAACAATGATAATTCTAACCAATATCTTAATTAGTAAGGATATTTTAGGAAAGACAACACCTATTTATTACAAATAACTAACTTAACTTCTTTTCTTAATCTCCTCAAATTAGTCAACTAGCTCTTATAATTAGGACCAGAGGTAATATAAACTCAAGGTACAAAGATTCAAACATTCAGCTACCAAGGAATTAGAGTGCAGTTTAATTATGTTTATACCAAGCCTATAGATTTTTTTTACAATAAAAAGAGTTACAAACGAGAGAACAAATTAGATTGCGCGTGTTTATTGTCAGGTTTGATTATATGAAATTGACTCGAATGGCTCACACATAATGACTTAGTTTTCAATTTAGTTCTATCACTCTAATCACGGTAAAAAGCAAAAAAATTTGTTAATAGCAGTTAATAAATTGAGGAAAACAAAAAAAGCAAGAGCAGTTTCACCTCTCCATCCATAAAAGAGATGACAGGGGAGGCAAACATACAGCAACAGAGTTTTACCATACTAGGTCGAGTCGGCTACATAGATCATCATATGATTATAAAATGTGAACGTCCCATGTAAGGCACAAATTAGGGTTAATTTCCGTGAGTCATACGTTACGAAATACTGTTGCTTTATCATGCATGGCGCCAGAATATTCTCAGTCTAGGAGTCTCCATGGTCGCACATTCAAAGAACATAGAAAAAGCTCCCATTCCAGTGGGTCATAAGAATAAATACATTGTTGCCTTATCATGCTTTGTGTGTCTTATGACCTACAGAAGAGACATTTTAAGAATTGCACAACAATCACTCGGCAAAAATGTGAAAGGGGAAAGAAATTGCGAGTGCTCCTCCCTTGTTTGGTGAGATCCAAGTAGATTCCAGCCCAACTTACTTAGCAAAAGCCATTTTCCCTTTAGATGGCATATACATCTTCCCATGCTTTAATTTAGACTTTAGCTTCTGCATTATATATCTTATGGATCCACATCTTATTTCTGGTGTGAGAGATATATATTTCATGCAGCTTTAACTTTTAAATTTTATTTGTTGTTGAACTTTGTACGGTAACCAAAAAATGATATCAATGAATTTGACACACGTACGACGAGGAAACAGAGAGTGTAACTGCACAAGGAATGGAAAAACAAAGGACGTACCCTTACAGACTGTAAGACCAGAAAATGTGTTTTTTTTTTGGGTACAGGTATTTCTAATACAATCTTATTCAAGGCACTGTTCGAACCTTAGTTTATCATATTGTAAGGGACTACTATTTTTCACTAGACCCAATCCCGACCGTACCAGAAAATGTGTTTAGATCATAACTAACATAACTGTGAAAGGAGTTGTGATCCAAAAAAAGCGAAAGGACCGAAAGGCGAAAGGAGTTGTTACTGCAGCAATGGGTTTGTTCGGACCGCTGGATTCAATCAGAATGAACGGCAGATATCATCATCTTAATTTCTGCAAAAAAAAATTCTAATTGTTAGAAATTTCACAACGCACCGTTTTATGACGTGCCTTCCCTTTTTTTTCTCACGCAGTTTGCGTTATATATAAAAATGATTCAGTCATTAGAGACATGTCACCTTAGTGAGCTTCCGGAATCTAATTTATATAAACTTTTTTTCACAAAAAAAAATGATCTGCCCAGATTTTTCTATTTTGAGGCTGATTGGCTCTATATGCAGCTAAGATTTAAAGCTTTTATTTTAAAAGCTAAAATTACAAGTACTTGCTCCAATTATAGGAGATAGTTAACGTTTAAATTTAACTTGACACTTGATAGCCACTATTAATAAAATAAAAAAAACATCAAACTTCAATTTGAACGTGCTAAAATAGCAGCATCCTTTGCTCTCATAGAAATGCATATATATAAAAGATTGATGGAAGTTTAATGAAAATGATTAAATTGAAAAATGAAAATTATAAAAAACCATATAACAATTGGACATAGCACAGTATATTCACCTGGTCCTTAATATTGGATCTAATTATTGAATTGATTTTTATACTAAATAAAAGACTTATTTCTGATATTTATCTTTTTTTTTTATAAATTATCCCTATAGATACTTCATCAATCATAATCAAGTAGAAGAAGGAGGAAAGATATTAAGAAAAATAATTATAATGTTTAAAAAAATCATCATATTTTTTATAATTAACTAACTTACTTAACTTTCTTAATTTAATCAAATTAATTAAATAGATCTTATATTAAGGATCGGAACAGTATATAGTTATTTTGTGGCGGCAAGAACTTTGACCGAATCAATTATTGTGGGCTTTGTTATAATAGCTTTCATTTGGATCGCCAGTCCTTATCATCCTCTACTTAGTTAAAAACTTTGATAGTTATACTTTTTCCGTTTTTTAATATAAAAATTAAATAACTAATTTATAAAAATTAAAAAAAATTGATTAAATAATTAGTCGTAATAAATGGGTGTTGTATTTTTTAAAATGTTCTTATTTGTCCATTAGAATATATTGAGGAAACTTGTCTGCGTTGAATAAAATTCTAATGATTTGAGATCTTTGTTTGTCTTGAAACTAAGTTCCGAGATGTCATCAAATCAAAAGAAATTGAAACCATGAGAAGCCACCCATTAATCGTTATGATTATTGCATCATTTTTACCTATCGTAATTGTGGGTTTTTTTTTATCATAATACAAGTTATCTTACTAATCCTTAAATAGAGCCTTCATTTAATTTGAATCTAATTCCTACCATGTTGGATTTTACTTCAAAGAGAATATGAGGACTCTCTAGTTTATGCGCACGAGTGTAATGGCTCTCTTGATAGTCATTTGTTTGGGGAAAACAACGTCCTAACATTTGATAATTGGCTTCATGAATTTAAAAAACAATAATCACCAACTTCTTATAATGGCTCTGCTGTGAATAGCCATACTGAAATTGTAAATACTTATATAGATGTTGTTAATCCCTACACTGGAGGTGTTAAGTTCTAACCGAAGTTAGAAAAAGGGGTTTGTTTTCTTCAAAATGCTGTTGTGAATAGCCATACCGAAGTTATAAATAACTATATAGATGTTGTTAATCACAAGTTCCTAATTGTTTTCTGACATGCTTGTATTAATGTGTAATGTGCAGAAAAAATGGTGTTGGAGAGAGAGACATCAACTTCAAAAGGGCCAAGGAATGGGTATGTCTTATTTAGAGAGGAATTTGCTCAAGGGAAAAAATTCAAGGGTGCAGTAGATAGAACTAACAAGGCGAAAGAGGCATGGGTAAGGCTCTCTATTAAGGAGAAGAAAATATATAGTGAAAGGGCCAAACAAATGAGGCCGGAGAAGAAGAAGAGTAAGAGAGTATGGAAAATGTTCACCCGTTGCTCTGTTCGTCAATTCATGTCACTGGCGGAATTTGTTAAGAGTGATGAAAGTTTAAGACAAAGGATAGAGAACATAGGATTCTCTAAGTTGTTGGATGTGAAAATTGACAGACTCCCACGTGAGTTAATTGTAGCTTTCATTCAATCGTACGATCCAGCAACACATCAATTCCGATTAAGGGGGAGGACAGAAGAAGTTGAGGCAAATGATGTGGGAACATTGCTTGGTGTGCCCCATACTGAGCAAGAGGTAAAAGGAGATGTTGATGAAAATCATGACACATATAAAAAGCTGAGGAGAAAGTATTTAAATGTTGTTTATAACAAGATATTAGCTGACATAAAAAGTAGGACGGATGATGAGCATTTTGAACTATTATTTATGTTGGTCACACTTGGCACATTTCTAGCTCCAACTTCAAGTGCAAGAGTTGGTGAGAAGTTATTAAGGGTGGTATGTTCAACTATGAATGGATATGAACAGTATGATTGGGCGACGTACATCATGAATGACCTCTACAAGGAAATGGAAGATTATGTGAATTTGTTCAGGAAGGAGAGGGATCCGTGCTGCACTGTGGGTGGCTGCTTGTACTTCTTGGTGGTATGTTTAGAGCAAAACATGTTATTCAATGTTAATGTAACTGTTTAATTCAATTGGCTAATACGGTGTGTTCTATGATTGTGGTTGCAGCTATATTTGGGTGAGAAATTCCCATTGTCAAAAGCTACTAACCATGACCCAACAAATGCTATTACATATTAGACGGATTAGAGAATAAAGGAATTGGTCAATAAAGAGTCAAAGAGTAACATAGGCCTATTGTACAAAGGGAAGTCTATAAAAGTGGTCGAAGATACAATAAGTGTTGCTCATGTACAGCCGGTATGTTTGTAGTTTTGTATGTATAAAATTCATTAGTATGTAAAGAGTTTAACTGTTTAACAAATGTGTTAGCAGGAATTGAAGGAAGTGCATCGAAGGATGATGGATGCACTTGAGGAAAGCCATAAAAGGCTTAGTAACCAATTTGCAAAGGAGCTGATGAAGGTGCAGCTCCATCTATAGGGGATGCCAAGTTCAAATCTGAGGGACCTTGTTGACAACACACGCGATGAGGCAGTGATTCTTCCATCTGATGGTAAAGGTGAAGAGGGAGGTAGTGACAAAGGTTATAGTGATGGAGATACTGCTGAAGGTGAAGCTAATGATCAGGAAAGAGGTAGTGATGAAGGTGATGAGGATGGAGAGGAAGGAGACAGTCAGAAAGGTGATGATGAAGGAGATAAAGGGGTGGAGTCATCAGATGAAGAGACTGACAAGGGAGAAGACCGAAGGCCATCAAAGAGAACAATCATTCCAAGTCATCAAGTAACTTCTCCATGGATTTCCATGTTGAAGCCTGTTAAGAGGAGAAAGAGAGTGATAACTGAGAAAGACAAGTTTTTCAACATTGTCTCTCGTATGTGTTCACGGGAGGAGGGTCAGAAGTAAGATATGCCGTGCATGGAACATTGAAAGCAGGAAATTTTTTTCATCTTATTTTGTTATTGTTGTTTGACTTACATATGATGTATACATTGCAGGATTATGGTTATAATGTGTGATAAACAAATTGATCGGGATCAATTGCGCACGATAGGTAGAATCGAAAGAGTGAGTAGCCCTCTAATAACAATGGTCGATAGGGCATTAATGACAGAGGCAGGTGAGGGAGGACAAGTGAGGCGACACATTTTTTATGCTGAGTTCATGGTGAGCCCTATGGTATGTACGGTTTGTTTGACAATTACGAGTTGTGATGATTAAACTAATATATTGTTTTGTAGATGAAAATGCTTTGTGTTGGAGCCAAAAACAATGCATTTTTATGTCTTGGACTCCATGAGGCTGCCTAATGATATGCCAAAGAAGACCAAGAAGAAGGATTCATTGGAAGAAAAAAGGATGTTTCATCTTCATGCATGTGTAAGGACTAAACTAATGTATCTGTGTATCACAAGTGCCCAATGTTTCCACCTTTTTAGCTCATATTTTGGATTTTTGTTGTCGGTTTGCAGAGAGACAACTTTTATGATATAATTGCATTAGTCAGACCTCAACTTGTTGGGAAGAAGCCTAAGACTAATATTATTTTTGCACCTGTTCCACAACAGAACAACTTGTATGTTGTGTTGACTGTTGACATTGTTTTCTAGTTTAAGATGTCAATTGCAGAAGCAGTCATACTAACTTAAATGTTTTATTTCCCATTGGCTGTATAGGAGAGATTGTGGTGTTCATGTGTTGATCTGGCTAAGCAAATAGGTCTCGGATGTGACATTTGACTTCAATGAGGTATGAAAGTTGTCTGTAATTAATGATTAATTATTTGCCAGGTATGGTGGACATTAACATGTGCACCTGTCTTATATGTAGAATCATGTAGCTGAGTTTAGGCGTGAGCTAATGTGGTGGCTAGTTAATCATCCGCTAAATTCAAGTCGTGAAGAAGCCTTAACTCTCCTCTCAGACCAGCAGAACAAGACAACCACCAAAAGACGACGTTTGTCATAGTACTTAGTAGGAGGTTCCTTTTACATGTCTATGTGACATTCTAATGTAGTTCCATGTTATTTAACTTTGGAGAACATTTATGTACATGGCAGAAGGATTGATTTCAAGATTAGTAATTGTGTCTTGTTAGCAACGGGTTCATACCATTTGCGACATTAGTAGTCAGACTTTATGGTAAATTTTACAACTCCAATATAAGTATTAACAGCATCATTATATATGTTTCCCACTTGTGTATCGGTTTTCACAACAGCATTCAGGAGATGAAAACGTGTACCCCTTTTTACAACTTCGGTGAAGCTTTTAACAACTGAAGTATAGGTTTTTCACAACTCATGTATACCCATTAGCTAATGGGTCTCTTGCATGCCCACACCTAAGTGGGAAACGTGTTTAAGATCCGTGGAAAATTTTACAACTCCAGTATATGGATTAACAACATCATTATATGTGTTTACAACTTCAGTATAGGTATTCACAATAGCTTTCTGAAGATGAAAACAAGTACCCTCTTTTACAACTTCGGTGAAGCTTTTAACAACTGAAGTATAGGTTTTTCACAACTCATGTATACCCGTTAGCTAATGGGTCCCTTGCACGCCCACACCCAAGTGGGAAACGTGTTTAAGATCCGTGGAAAATTTTACAACTCCAGTATATGGATTAACAACATCATTATACGTGTTTACAACTTCAGTATAGGTATTCACAACAGCTTTCTGAAGATGAAAACAAGTACCCCCTTTTACAACTTCGGTGAAGCTTTTAACAACTGAAGTATAGGTTTTTCACAACTCATGTATACCTGTTAGCTAATGGGTCTCTTGCACGCCCACGCCCAAGTGGGAAACGTGTTTAAGATCCGTGGCAAATTTTACAACTCCAGTATATGGATTAACAACATTATTATACGTGTTTACAACTTCAGTATAGGTATTCACAACAGCTTTCTGAAGATGAAAACAAGTACCCCCTTTTACAACTTCGGTGAAGCTTTTAACAACTGAAGTATAGGTTTTTCACAACTCATGTATACCTGTTAGCTAACGTGTCCCTTGCATGCTTGTACCCTCGTTGGAAACGTGTTTAAGATCGGGGAGATTTACAACTCCAGTGTATGGCTTAACAACATTATTTAAAATTTTTACAACTTTAGTATTGGTATTCACAACAGCTTCCTGAAGATGGGGGAAAAACCCCTTTCACAACTTCGGTTAACCTTTTAACAACGTCAGTATAAGGTTATCACAACGCAGGTATACCTGTTAACCACCTGGTTTACAGGCGTGCTTACACCCTCTTTAGAAACGTGTTTACGGACTAAACCCACTTCAATATGCGTTCCCAACAGCATTTCCAATAATGACTAAACCAGCCATATTACAACTTCAGTAAACCATATAACAACCCCTAAATAACGTTTCAACAACTCGAGTAAAAGTTTAACAACTGTCATAAAAGAAAATGATCAGTAATACCCATATTTTTAACTCAGTTCAAACGAAGTTCATATACGAAGATCATACTTAAAAACATAAAACATAAGGCAACAATATCAAACATGAATAATAAGGGGACTCGTCTTGCAACTTCTGTCATTGTTAACAACACAGTTAAAGGAAATAACAACTTCAATATAGGTATTTTTCTAAAATCAGATCCTTCCTGACAGTACTTACAATCAGTGACAAGCTAACATTAATATTTCATCCCCACTTAATGTTTTTTTGTCATTGACATCAAAATACACATTTCACTGACTATGTGTGGCTTACGATGTCGACTTACGACATGGCACAACCCTTCATCCAAAAAAATATGAAGAGTTACAAAATATTTACAAGCCACAACAAAAAATAACCTTTACAAAATAAACCCACACGTGGACCACCAATTTTAACTTGGGTATGGATTTCTGCATGTTCTTTTATTGTGCCCAGCTTCATGACACTGTCCACAGTGGTAAATCTTCCTGTTTTGGAATTGGGAGTCCCGCCTCCTAATTCTTGGCCTTCCCGAAGGTCTACTAGTTGTAGGTGGGTATAGCCACACTTGGTTTCCTATATTTTGCAGCATATAATCATTAGGATTAGGCCTGTCAATTGTCACTACTGGAATCATGGTGTTCCCATAAATCTTCTCTTGGGATGTTATTTTATAACAGTCCTCCACAAAATCATACACATTTGCATGAACCACCCTTATTGCAGCACAAGCGTGTGGACATGGAATCCCTGTCATTTGCCATGCAGCACAAGTGCATTCATGTGACTGAACATTGACATATAAGGCTCCACGCGAAGTATGTACACAGACCCTGCCACCTCCATAAGGTTCACCATGCATATGAATCGATCTAGCCACATTTTCCATCACTTTTCCATCAATGTTTGGACCCACACCATTTCTCCAATTCCTCATTGCCACACTTGCTGCGAACATCTTCCTTGCAACCTTCTCACGATGTTCATGAATAAGTTAGGCAACATTATGCTGCCTTTCCTTTACAATCCAAGCATTGAATGACTCAGCAATGTTCGTTGTTATGTTATCCCACCATTTATATGCAAACTTGCTCATTGCCCACTTATGAATATCACCATGATTGTTAAGCCACTGAAGTAACTGAGGACTGAAATTTCCCATCCTTGTCATTGCCTTATCAAACTCAACGTTAACCCTTGCATATGCAATGTCATCAAGCAACTTTAATCCAACTTCCTTACTAATACCACTAGTTCTCCTCCTACCTCTGTATAATTTATTCATTTCAGAGCTGAAATTTTCCTTCATGTGCCTATAACAGTATGCATGACGGTCACCTCCAAATATTGCTCTAACAACTCCTATTATTGCATTGTGACGATCTGACACAATAGTTAGTTGGATTGCACCGACTATCTGTTTTATCATGTTTAAGAACCATGCCCACTCCTCATAAGTCTCTCCTTTCACAATAGCATACGCGAATGGTAACAATTCATTGTCCGCGTCATATGCTGAGGCTGATAGTAGTGTTCCCCTATATGGTCCACTCAAATGTGTTCCATCTATGTACAGTATATGTCTTGCCCCAGACAAAAAACCCTCTATGCAACAACCATATGCTATGAAAACACGCTCAAATATATTGTTAACAGTTACTACCCATTCAGCTACCGTCTTCTCATCGGTTTCCTTCAATCGTTAACATATCCATGGTATCAACATGTATGACTGTTCAGGCCTCCCTTGTATTTCCTCTAATGCTTTTTCCTTAGCCCTATATGCTTGCTTATATGTCAACTTCACACCATAATCCCTTGCCAAGGTCCTCCTTATTTCATTTGGACGCTTTTCAGTGTGATCCCTTACCTCCTCAATGATAATTGATGATGTCAAGGCTGCTCTTCCACCATGTTTAACTTGCATCATCTCTTGGGCATTATGCACATGTTCATTACTGAGTCGAGTTACAACGAGGAAAGGACTTCTCTTCGCAGCTACTCTTGCTATTATCCGCCAAGGACAACCTTCAACTTTGCATTTCACATGCACACATTCCTCACAATTTTTGACATATTTGTACTCGAAGTTTTCTGCAATACTAAACTTATATACTGCCTTTCTGAATTCTGTGGCATTTGCAAAAGTTTGCTTCTTTCCTAATAACAATTCCTTCCACTTCACAGCATTCATCTCGGGCATTGGTGTTGGTGCAATCTCTACTGTACTTACTAGCCTTACATGACATCCCCCACCGCCTTCTCTTACACGTCACCCCTATTTTCATCACAAACTGTTCCGTCCATATTATTCTCCCTACTTGACAAAAAACACATTTGTTGTGACAATCCCAAGTAGTTATCAATGCTGCATGCATAGTTACAACTTTTGTTAGGAAATTCACAACAACAATATAACAAATAACAACTAAAATAACCATAAAAAAACAAGTCTCACATTTGTGGATCATCCATTACTTTCGGTGTACTCTCCTTCAATGCTAGATACACATGTGCACTAGTGTCATTATACTAAAAAAGATTATCAACTTCACTATCATCAACCAAATCTACTAATGCCTTATCATCGAGGCTCACTGTATATTTCATGTCACAAATATTAACATCTATATCAAACCATTCCAATATCATTAACCTCAACTCTTCATATCTTATCCCCTGTTTTATCGTTTTAACTCTGACACTCCCACCATTGTATCTCATTTCACCTTCAACATTATTAACAAAGTTTCCACCAAGATGAAAAATCAACGCAAGTGTCTTTGAATATGTTGACCCAATATTGCAACTCATTCTGCATTATACCCTGCAACAAACAAGGAAAATATTTCATCACAATGTCATCTCTGTAAAAAGGATATTTCATAAACCCAACACAGCTACTTTCAAAGTTAACAACTTCAATATATCGTTTCACAACTCCACTTTAACTATTAACAACACCCTTCACAACCTCATTACTATGGATATTCAGCCTACTTATATACGTGATCATCGCAGCGCTTCTTCCAATTTCCCTCAGCTACCATCTGCTATCCCAAAAACAGATCATTATAAACACTGTCCCAGACTAAGCTAACTCTATCACTCACTACCCGACTCATACGTTCCATTCCCACAAGTTAAAAACAACAACCAATGCCTCCAGATGAATCACGTTACGATTGCTGCAGCATCGTCTCCCTCTTAAGCTGACAAAACTAACTTGGCTAGAACCCTAACCTTATCTAACAGTAATCAACTCATTCGTTCAGATTGATGACCATTCTCACACCTAAAAAAGGAAAAACCAACACCCCAATATGAAGAACATATGCCTTACGTAATACCGCCCCTTACCTACTCTGAACCCTCAACGCCACATACAGAACGCAGGACCACCAAAATGAAGAAAACAGACCGCAACAGTCATGCATGGAGGATGAAACAGTCATATGATTTCAGAAAAACACTTACCCTTTCGAACCACCACCTTCTCGTCACCTTCGAGCTGCTGGAACGCACACGTTTCTCTCCTTTCCTTCCCGCCTATCTTCCTTCGGTGTGCAGCTTATTGTGGTGCCCATGTGGTGCCCACGTTTTGTAATGGGTGAGGGCGGTTTGGTCTTTTCTTCTAAGAAAATGATCCCAATTTGGTCTGCTGGTACCAAAACGGGATTTGTGAAATTCCGCAGACGTTTTTGGGCTTCTGGAGTTAGAGGTGCATTTTTATATCTTTTTCCCTTGTTTATATGTAATTGATTGATTCGGAGTGCACTTAATTTCCAGCCCAATTCTATCGCTCTAATTAGACTGGGTCTTTTTCTTTTTTTTTTGTGTGTTTAAACTTTATCATTCAATTCAATTCAAGCAACATACGGTATTAATTTAAATGCAAATTACTTCAAATATCAGTATGGATATAATCAACAGGGGTAAAATAGAACTCATCTTAATTATTTTGGATCTCATTCTACATGTGTCTTTTTAATTCTTCATTTCTTTTTTTTTTCATTCATTGGTTAATTAACTCACTTAAAAGAATTTCAAATTTTTTAATGCGAATTGAAGTGACTTGAAATCAAATAAGAAATGGTTTGAGTAATAAAAAGATATAAATTTAAACTAAATTTAAACAACTCTGCGTCAAATTCTTGAGACTTAAGTAAGTCATCTAGACGCGATATTTTAACGAAGAACATCTTTTCTTGAGGTGGAATCTTCCCATGGTTAATTAAGAGTATATGAGTTGTTGAAAGTTTTATTCTCGTCACTTGATTATGTTGGATGCATTGTTTCCTGGGTGTGGATACCTTAACATTGTTTTGCTGTTGAACTTTTAGCAAAGTAAAACGTTAGGGAAAATTGGTATATAACTTTAAAAAATTAAAAAAAATGTTTCTTATTTTACAAGAATTCAATTATTAAAAATTGATCACAGTAAAAAGACAAAAATTTTGCTAATAACAGTTATTAAATAAATAAATAAATAAAGCAAGAACAACTTCACCACTATGGCACTATGCCCGTAAAGAGATGAAAGGTGAGGCAACCATGTAAAAATCCAAAAAATTTGAAGTACCAGATTTATTCATATATATCACATGTAACAAAAATTAACACCATAAAATATGAACGTCCCATGTAAGGCACAAATTCTGGTTAATTTCCGTAAGTCATACGTTATAGAATATTGTTGCCTTATCATGGCGCCAAAATATTCTCAGTAGTCTAGGAGTCTCCATGCTCTCATATTCAAAGAAAATAGAAAAACCTCCATAAAAACAAAACAAAAAACAAAAGCCTACCCTCTGTTGAATGAGTCGCTTCATCTACAAACGCGTTTTACGTGAAACTTTGCCTTTTGCCTGGATATAGTGGCCGGCAGATTCTTATTTGTTTCAAAGTCCATAGTACTCCTTATTTTGTATCCACACTTCAATGGCCTTGGCTCCTCAAACTTCACTTTGAATTTTTGCCTCCTAGTTCACAGATATGGCTTCTGCTGTTGTGGTAGGAACTTCTGTTGTCGGCTTCATTGGTAGGACTTAGACCTATGATTTGCTTCTTTGCTGTGTGATTTTCCGTATTTAATTTTGTCTGTTGTTTCTTGGTATGACTTGTAACTGAGATAATTCTTACCCATCGCAGTAATTCTGACTGTGATTTATTGGAGAGCAACTATGTCTTGTTACCCTCGTCGGTCCCTGGTTATTGCACACCAAGAATTTCTGACTTACACTATGTACAAGTTTCTGCATAAAATGGAAAGGGAAAAGCCAATCAGGTTCAATTCACATGTTCTGATGCTTGCAACTAACAATTATTCCAACATGTTGGGTTCAGGTGGTTTCGGATCAGTCTATAAAGGGATTTTCAGTGATGGAACCATCGTGGCTGTGAAGTTTTTGAATGGGAGCTCAGACAAGAGAATGGAGAAGCAGTTCATGGCAGAAGTAGGCACAATTGGAAGAGTTCATCATTTCAATCTACTTCGCCTCTATGGATTTTGCATTGAAGGGAATATAAGGGCACTAGTTTATGAGTTCATGGGCAACGGCTCACTTGACAAGTATCTATTTAAGGAAAACAAGAGGTTGGGATTTAAAAAGCTTCATGAGATTGCCGTTGGAACAGCCAAAGGAATTTCTTATTTGCATGAAGAATGCCAACAGAGAATTGTCCACTATGACATAAAACCAGAAAACATCCTCTTGGACGATAACTTCTATCCTAAAGTTGCTGACTTTGGTTTGGCCAAGCTTTGTAATAGAGAAAATACTCATATCACCATGACCGGAGGTAGAAGGACTCCCGGTTATGCTGCGCCGGAGCTCTGGATGCCGTTTCCGATAACTTACAAGTGTGATGTTTACAGCTTTGGAATGTTGTTATTTGAAATCATAGGTAGGAGAAGGAATCTTGATGTTAACCTGACAGAAGAAAGTAAAGAGTGGTTTCCAAGATGGGTTTGGATCAAATTTGATAATGGAGAACTAAATGAAATGATAAGAGTGTGTGGAATAGAGGAGGAAAATAAGGATATGGCAGAAAGAATGGTTAAGATAGCTCTTTGGTGTGTTCAGTATAAACCTGAACTGAGGCCTATGATGAGTGTTGTGGTGAAAATGTTGGAGGGTTCAGAGGAAATCCCAGAGCCTGTGAATCCTTTTCAGCACTTCATGGATGGAAGTTATTCTGTAGAATCAGTTCAGACAACACAGACTGATACTAGTTTTGCTTCTGGTTCCTCTATTACAGCATCTAAACCTAGCACTGTGAATGCTACTCCTATAATGAGCAAGTATGAGAGCCAAATAGCCTCTAGCCAGGATTAACACAAGTGCGAGTACAAGTCTTGTGATAAATTATTTTCTCTTGTGATCTGATATTTTGTTGGATCTACTCTGTTCCTAAATGAAAGACTTTATTTATTTCCCCCCTTTGAATTTTTCAGAAGGAAACTTTGATGAATTCAATGGATATGAAACAAAGAAGAAGCTTTATAAAAGGCAATACATTTGACTCAAACAGTAATATCACACACCACCTATCTTACACCACTGACTATTGTCAAAACATGCTTCTTTGCAGGTTGTGTGTATGGCTATATCAACGCAAGGGTCAATTTTAGTGAAAACCGTGAAGTTTTGCTTTTATGCAAACGAATCTATAAACCTAAGGTACAAATATTCAGACATTCAGCTGCCAAGGACTTAGAGTGCAGATTAATTATGTTTATACCAAGCCTATAGGTTTTTTGATGATAAAAAGAGTCACAAACAAGAGAACAAATTAGATTGCGTGTGTGTATTGTCAGGTTTGGTTATATGAAACTGGCTCGAATGGCTCATACCCAATGACTTAATTTTCAATTTAGTTCTATCACTCTAACTACTGCAAAAAAGGAAAAAAATTTGTCAATAGCAGTTAATAAATTGAGGGGAAAAAACCAAGCAAGAGCAGTTTCACCTTTCCATCCGTAAAGAGATGACAGGCGAGACAAACATAAAACAACAGAGTTTTATCATATTAGGTCAGATCGGCTACATAGATCATCGCAGGACTGTAAAATATGAACGTCCCATGTAAGGCACCAATTCTGGTTAATTTGCGTGAGTCATACGTTACAGATTATTGTTGCTTTATCATGCATATTGACGCCAGAATATTCTCAGTCTAGGAGTTCCCATGGTCCCATGTTCAAAGAACATAGAAAAAGCTCCCATTCCAACAATGATGGGGCATAAAAATATATTGTTGCCTTATCATGCATGGTGTCTTGTGATCTGCAGAGGAGATATTTGAAGAATCGCACAACAACCACTCAGCAAAAATGTGAAAGGAGTGGTTATCCAAAAAAAACTAAGAGGATATGAAAGGAGAAAGGAATTTAATCACTAAAAAGTTCCACAATAATTGGGCAATATATACTGACAAGATATGATATAAGAAATAACAACTGGCGTATGCATCACGTTCACTTGCATCGGACCTTTTTGTGGTTAGATTGCTCATATAGCATGGTAATCTTCGGAAAAAGTTATTGAAAACTTTGGAGCGGATTTTTTGACTGGTTTGCTGTATAATCAATTTTGCCTCTTCACGCTATCATTATTTGAGTAAAAGAAAAAGTAATGAAAATATAATTATAACAAGAACAACAACATCAGTATTACAATCATCGGATCAAATTTTCAAACTCTAGGAATCTCAGTTCTCACCTGCACTCGGCCCTAGTAAATATAAGTCAAAGTTAACTATAATTAGAGTATTAATTTTTTTTTATATTCTAATAATTTATCTTTATCCACAATTAAATACTCTGAGTAAATGAAATTTATACTTATTTTCACATATTTGTTGAACACGTGCAAATAAAATTATTGCAGAACTCCTTATTATCATGAGATTAAAATTCGCTTACGTTAATAGTTGACTTTATCCACACACACACAGTAAGATGAAGGCAGGATAATTAGGTGGGATCACTAACATTTAAATCATAAGGAAAATTGGGGATAAATCTCTCATTGAAAATTTAATTAATAAATAGCACCTAAGGAGTTTACGTAACTTAATTTTTATTGTGTGCAACTTAACTTCCTTTGTATGCAATAATCTTCTTTTGTATGATGTACAACTCAATTTTTTTTGTGCAAATGAAATTTTCTGATGTGTAAATCATCTTCCTTATATGCAAACTAATTTCTTATATCTAAATAATATTTTGTACAAACTATCTTCGTTTTGTGCAATTTACCTTGCTTTGTGTACAACTAATATTCTCTTATGCAATCAATCATCATAAGAACCATATGCCAATTAAATTTGTAATGAGAAATTTATCCCAAATTTTCTCTAAATCCATATTACTATTATTTTTATTAAAACGATAACTATAAAGAGTTCTGAGCCTGACTATCAGGATTAAAATAAATCTTTGGCCTGCATAGTCTAATTTATTGGTCAAAATTATACGCATAATTTATTATTGTAAAAGAAACTGTTAAGTAATTTTTTTAAATTCTAATGGCGAATCTTATTGACCAAATTTTTGGCTATGTTGCCTAAAGGGTTAAACAACAAACTTAGAAAAATGAAAATGTAAAGCGATAATAAACCTAAACGTTTTTTAAGAATTGAATGATTATATTAAAAACATTGACACAGTGACACTAATAAATTAAACAATATTATTCAATCTAATGCAATTTTCAAATTCATAATCATTAACAAATAGTAATTCATATTGATTAAATAATAAAAATATAATTTAAACTTATAGCATATTCTTACAAGTGAAATGCATTAGAATCCGAATAATGTTGGGTTTCGGAAAATAGAAGAATCCATTTACCAACTTTCATAGGTGCTTGCTTTGAAATAAGCCAATGTGTACTGTTCGAAAATGACTGATTATAAAAAAATTTCCTTTGAGGAATTGTTCAAACCTTTTGTTTTGCTCCAGGATACAATGAGCAGAAATTTCTTATCCTCAACAGTCTAAAACATTACATATTTTGTGCTCAGACTCCACACATATATATAAATATATATATATTTATATGCTTTGATTGTTAGTATCATTTCTGAATCTGCTATACATATATTGCTGTTTCTGTCATATCTTCTGCGGTACAATATTTATATATAGTGATTTGCTTCTTGTTTTGGCGTTTCTCAAATAATTTTGTCAGCTCTGGGCTTTTGTTGCTTTTGTTGCCAAGATTTTTTCCACATGAAAAGAAATTCTTCGGATTCAACTCGATCTAGAGATTTGATGATGGGCGAATCTGGATTTTATAAATATCCCTTAACTTTAAGGAATTCATGGATTAGTTTAATTTGAGTTAGACATATCTATGAAATTAATTGGCTTTTCATTTTGATGAAGGGGCAACTGAATGAAGAATCTGACTCTTTCAGTCAGAGGACGGAATCGGAGTTACGGAATCGAAGTATGCCGGTGGTGATCATCAAGATGACTTAATTACAACTTATCCACGTACAGGTAAATAGCACGATGAAATTAGATACTCCATCTCCTTTTTCCAAGAACATTCATTCATATTATGTAGCCACACTTCAATGGCCTTGGCTCCTCAAACTTCACTTTGAATTTTTGCCTCCCGGTAACATGAGTACATGTCTTGCAATATATTATTTTCTTTGGTGACCTGGTATTATTCTGTTGTTTCCGCTCTATGAATTTTCCAAAGAACAAGGGAACTTTGATGAATCCGATATATTATGAAACAAAGCAGCAGCTTTATAAAGAGGGACAATCCCAATATATTCTAACTTCACGAATACTATGGGTTTAAGCGATCTTACCCGTGTGCTATCCCTCAATCCCAAGTTACCCTCGGTTCCTTATATCAAACATTACAAAGTAAGCAATGTCAGTATCAATCCTAGTACCAACTTTTCCAATCCCACGTACGTACCAAACCGAGCCTGCCTTTGTTGTTATATATTAAAGAATGTCGTGGGGAACTTTGACATTAAATAATAAGGTCATTCAAAGGAGTTCGAAATTCGAATAATGGGAGAATCTGACGGTGAATTACTGAAAAATTTTGCGTAAATAGTCTTTTGAAATATGATCTTTCAAAAATTAACTATTTCCGGCAATGCCTGCTTCCCCTAATAACAAACGCCACCCGTCACAATTAAATAATATTTCGGGTTGTGTGTTTAAATTTTATTAAATTAAAAAAAATATTTCAATTTGATCATATAGTCTTGAAGCTATTCATTTAAAATACACATCATGAATGGAGATAATTAACTGGGCCTAGTTGAGTTCATTTTTTTGCCAGAGAAATTAATTTAATCACTAAGAATCTTATTGTCAATACGCTAAATAATGCCACATCACGTTCCAAATAGTTAAACTTACAAATCTGAGTACACACGTTATGTCGTAATTCGTGACATAATTATAATGGGAGAATCTGACGGTGAATTACTGAAAAATTTTGCGTAAATAGTCTTTTGAAATATGATCTTTCAAAAATTAACTATTTCCGGCAATGCCTGCTTCCCCTAATAACAAACGCCACCCGTCACAATTAAATAATATTTCGGGTTGTGTGTTTAAATTTTATTAAATTAAAAAAATATTTCAATTTGATCATATAGTCTTGAAGCTATTCATTTAAAATACACATCATGAATGGAGATAATTAACTGGGCCTAGTTGAGTTCATTTTTTTGCCAGAGAAATTAATTTAATCACTAAGAATCTTATTGTCAATACGCTAAATAATGCCACATCACGTTCCAAATAGTTAAACTTACAAATCTGAGTACACACGTTATGTCGTAATTCGTGACATAATTATATATTGTATAGTCCATCGATTTCATGTTGTATGCATCATTATTCATTTTTATTAATACGATTTGAAAGTTGATAACATTGAAGCAAAGATATTTTAAGAATCGAGAAATACAGATGTTGAAAAATCAAAGTAAGATATGGATAGATTATATTTTAAAAAACGAATGAATTAGTTAGGCTTCATACATAACATGGCAGAATCATGTGCTAAAAGATAAATTCTCTGTACCTTTTCTTTGCTCTCTCTCTCGAAGGAAAGCTGGTGATCATATTTAATTGCTTTTAAGTGGACTTTCGTTGGTTCTTTTTTTAAATAAGCTAATGTGCTGTCCGAAATTGACTGGTTATAAGAAAATTTCCTTTGAGAAATTGTTCACAAATTTTGACTTGTGCCAGGATACAATCACCAGAAATTTCTTATCACCATCAGTCTAAAATATTACATGTTTTGTGCTCAGACTCCATATTTACATGCTTTCATCTTTAGTATCATTTCTGAATTGATTCCTTCTGCTCTACATATATTGCTGCTTCTGTTATATCTTCTGAGGTAGGATTTAGAATTATGTTGTGATTTACTTCTTGTTTTGATGTTTCTCAAATACTTTTGTCTGATTTGGCTTTTTGTTGCTTTTGTTCCCAAGATTTTTTCTGCATGAAAATAAACAAAATTCATTGGATTCAACTCTAGATTTGATCATGGATGAATCTGGATTTTATAAATATCCCTTAACTCTTAAGGAATTCATATGGATTAGCACAATTTGTGAGTTAGACATATCTGTTTATCTCACCGTGCAAGTTATGGTTTTGAAATTAATTGATTTTTCATTTTGATGAATTTCATATATATATATAAATATATATATTGGGAGGCAACTAAATGAAGAGTCTGGATCTTTCACTCAGAGCAACCGGTGTTGCAGAATTGAAGTGTGCCTGTGGTGATGAAGATGACTTATATGCATCAGAATTAATTCGCATATAACTTGATTCTTCAGCCATGTCACCTGAATACGGGATACTATTTTCTTGGTTTTGATGAGTTTCATAAACCATAAATCACATCTCCGAGTTTCCTTCATGGCCACAGAAAATCTCAGCTTCAGCAGGTTCTTCTCCGATCACCATTTATTTTATTTCTATTCTGATTACTGCTTATGCTTTAGCTCCGATTCATCTGGATTATGATCAATCATGGCTAGGTAATTATTATGTTTAGGGCCACAATAATCTGAGTGAGAAACCCAACACCACAGATATTCGAAAGGATAAGGTTGGCATTTATTTGGAGGAAATTAGATCAAACATGTCATCTTTATGGAGGGCAATACCCCTTCGCATCATTATCACGCGTAAGATTTAGAGCTTCTAAATGGTTGAATTATCACGTCTTTTTTTTTTGGTTAATATAATCTTTAGTCCGTCAAGTTTGTTTTTATTTTGGTTTTTATTACTCAAGTTTTAAACTATACGTTTTGGTACCTCAAAAGAAAAAATGGTTCAAGTTTTTGTTGAATCATGAGGATTAATGTTTTAAATGGAAAAAAAAAAAACTTGAGGAACCAAAACCAAAATGAAAGGCAAACTTGAGGGACCAAAAATTGTATTAACTCTTTTTTTTTGGCATTTTAGAAAAATATTTAAAATGATTGAAGTTTATAAGATTAATTTTATTCTACATTATACTCTTTTAAACAAATCATACATTCCTGCCTATGTGTAGTCCTCCTTCTTGCCGGGGTACTGATAGCAATGGCTTTACGTCATGAACGGAACCTACTCATTATCATCGAAAGCCTGCTGGGTACGTAAGATCTACGTACAGTACTTTAATTTAAAGTAATGATAAAGTTCAACGAAGATGATTAAGTTATAAGAATTAAGCCATTAAAAGCAAATTCGCTTAAACTTTTCAAGCAGTTTTTTGTTGTAGCAACAATTGTGACTGATTATCTTTTATAAATACCTTCTGTAGCCGCGCTGGCTTATTATTACTTGCGATATTTTTACTCCGCATGAGATCTAAAGAGTTTCTGTCATTTACGATGGAAAAGTTTCTGAATGACTTGGGAAGAGAGAGCCCAACAAGGCTCACATCAGATCACCTAATGCGTGCAACAAACAACTACTCCACCATGTGGGATCAGGAGGTTTTGGATCAGTTTATAAAGGAACGTTCAGTGATGGAACTGTTGTGGCCGTGAAACTTCTTCGTGGTGGGATTTCTGACAACAGAATGGAGGAACAATTCATGGCGGAAGTTGGCACAATTGGAAGAGTCCATCATTTAAATCTGGTTCGCCTCATTGGATTCTGCATTGAAAGGAATATGACAGCTTTAGTTTATGAGTACATGAACAATGGGTCTCTCGACAAGTATCTGTTCGGCGAAGATAAGAGCTTAGGATTTGAGAAGCTTCATGAGATTGCAGTTGGAACAGCCAAAGCGATTGCTTATTTGCATGAAGAATGCCAAGAGAGAATCATCCACTACGACATAAAACCAGAAAACATCCTTTGGACCAAAATTTGCTTCCTAAAGTTGCTGATTTTGGTTTGGCCAAGCTTTGTAACAGGGAAAAGTCTTATGTCACAATGACAGGTCTAAGAGGGACGCCAGGTTATGCTGCACCAGAACTTTGGATGCCTTTTCGTGTAACTCACAAGTGCGATGTTTTCAGCTTTGGGATGTTGTTACTTGAAATCATAGGAAGAAGAAGAACCTTGACGTGAACCTCTCAGAAACTCAAGAGTGGTTTCCAAAATGGGTTTGGAGAAAGTTTGAGAGTGCAAATCTACAAGAGTTGATAACATATTGTGGTATTATTGAAGACAAAGACAAGGAGATAGTGGAAAGAATGGCCAGGATAGCTCTGTGGTGTGTTCAATATAAACCCGAATCGAGACCCAAAATGAGTGATGTGGTGAAAATGTTGGAAGGCTCCATGGATGTTCCAGACCTCTCATACCCATTTCAATATTTGATGGATGAAGAAGCTCAAGTAGATAGTAGTATTGATGGCGGCTCATCTACTCTTGAGGGAACTGAATCTTCCATTGTGTTTTCTCCTCCTGTGTTGGAGATCCAAATAGATTCGAGCCAAAATTAACAAAAAACCATTTTCATTATCCCTTCATTAGATGGCATCCTCCCATGGTTTAAGTTTATAGAGGCTCTGCATTATCCTTTTTGGCCATGGTTCTGCATTATCTTATTGATCGATATCTAGTGGTTTGATTATACGGCATGTATTTTCTCTCGTGGGTGACATTGCATTTTAATTTTTAATCTCGGTTGTGTTCAACTTTTGAATACGGTAACACAAAATTATCAATGAACTTGGCACATGCAGTGAAACAATTAGTGCAATTGTAGAAGAAATAAAAATGACCCACAGAAGAAAGGCAAGAAATTTGTTCACGGGGCTCAAAGTTGAATTATAAGCATTGATCATAACATAGAAATTCATTCAAAGCCTATGACTTGTCTTATGATCCGCAGATCAGAGGAGATATTTGAAGAAATGCACGACAACAACTAAGCAAAAATGTAAAAGGAATTATTATTAAAAAGACAAATAAAGAAATGAAATGAAATGAAAGGTAAAATTAGAGGAAAAATCCCTCCACGCAATCTCACATAAGCAATTTAATTATTTAAAAAATCTCATAACAAGTAAGCAGTACGTAATGATAAGATCCTATATAAGAAATGGCAACTGGTGCATGTATGTTGCTCACTTATTGTCGGACTTTCTATTGATTAGATAGCATATATAGGAGTGTACAGTAATTTTTTCAAAAGTTATTAGAAAATTTCCGGCCGATTTCTCGATTGATTTGCTGAATCGGATTTTGCCTCTTCACGCTATCATTATTTGAGCAAAACGAAAAATTATGAAAGTATAATATATGACAACAACAAAAATTAAAAAAAGATAATAATCACTAGATCAAATCTTAATTTCAAACTCCAGGAATCTCAGTTCGCAACTGTACTGTGTCCCATTAAGTATAATTATTTTTTAAAGCTTTTTCATGGGATTACTACAATTTTTTGACTCCTCAACTTTGTCCTAATTTTGGTTTTGGTCCCTCAATTGTTTCAAACTATAAATTTTGGTTCCCTAAATTTCTTTTCATTTAAAATATTAGTTTCTATAGCTCAACAAAAAATTAGACCATTTTGCTCCTTACGAGATTAAACCTATGGCTTGAAATTTGAGGAACCAAAACAAGAAACTTAAAAGACCAAAGATTACATTAACTCTTTTTTGTGCCTAAATTATAGGTCTGGTTTAAAGATAGTTGTTTTTTATTTTCTAATTCATCTTTGCCTACGGTTAAATACTATGAGTAAATGAAATTTAAATTTATTTTCACATATTTTTTGAATATATGCAAATAATATTATTGCAGAGAACTTCTCCTTATCATGAGATTAAAAAATCGCCTGCTGCAATTCGTTTAATTTTAATAATCACTGGCCTGGCTTACGTTAAGAGTTGACTTTATACACGCATATGTGTGTATTTATATCCTCATAACATAACGTGTAAGATGAAAGCTCACTAACATGTAAAATCATATCGTTATTTTCTTTAAATAATAACTATATATAGTTCTGAGTCTGACGATAGGGATTAAAATAAAATATTTAGCCAGCATAGTTTAATTTCTTGATCGAAATTGTACGTATCATTTATTATTGTAGAAGAAATTTTTAAGATTCTAATGGCGAATCTTATTGACCAAATTTTTTGCTATGTTGCTTACCCAGTTAAACAACAAACTATAGGGAAAAAATGAAAATGTAAAGCGATAATACGGCTACACGCTTTTTAGCATTGAAGGATTATATTAAAAACATTGACAATGACACTAATAAAACAATACTATTCAATCTAATGCAATTTTTAAACTACTAATTATTAAGAAATAATAAGTCATTTTCATTAAATTAGATAATAAAAACTATAATTTAACCTTATAGCATATTTTTACATATGAAATGCATTATATTAGAATTCGAATGTTGGGTTTTGGAAAATAGAAGGATCCATATTTACCAGTTAATTTCTTGATCGAAATTGTACGTATCATTTATTATTGTAGAAGAAATTTTTAAGATTCTAATGGCGAATCTTATTGACCAAATTTTTTGCTATGTTGCTTACCCAGTTAAACAACAAACTATAGGGAAAAAATGAAAATGTAAAGCGATAATACGGCTACACGCTTTTTAAGCATTGAAGGATTATATTAAAAACATTGACAATGACACTAATAAAACAATACTATTCAATCTAATGCAATTTTTAAACTACTAATTATTAAGAAATAATAAGTCATTTTCATTAAATTAGATAATAAAAACTATAATTTAACCTTATAGCATATTTTTACATATGAAATGCATTATATTAGAATTCGAATGTTGGGTTTTGGAAAATAGAGGATCCATATTTACCAGTGATGGGAGAATCTGACAGTGAATAACTGAAAAATTCATGTATGCCTTTCGAAATATGATCTTTCAAAATTGAACTATTTCGATTTGATCATATATGTAAGTATATGTTTACCCGAATATTTCTTGATGCTATATATTATTCATTTAAAATATGCATAACGAATGTAGATAATTAACTGGGCCGTCTTGAAGTTAATTTAATTATTAGGAATCTTACTGTCGATATAATATATCACATCACATTCCAAGTAGTTACACTTACAAATCTGAATACACACACGTCATGTCGTAATTCGTTGACATAATTATATATTCTATCGATTTCATGTTGTATGCACCATTCATATTTATTAATACGATTTGAAAGTTGATGACATTGAAGCAGAAATATTTTAAGAAATAAGGAATACAAATGTTGAAAAATCAAAGGATAAGTTAATGTGTACAGCCTGAAAATGACTGGTTATAAAAAATTTCCTTTAAGGAATAATTCAAACTTTGACTTGTACCAGGATGCAATGAACAGAAATTTCTCATCAGTCTAAAACATTACATGTTTTGTGCTAAGAGTCCATGTATGCTTTGATTATTGGCATATCAATATTTCTGAATTGTTTCCTTCTGCTCTACATGTATTGCTGCTGCTCTGTGTTATATCTTCTGAGGTAGGGTTTAGAATTACTATACTGTGATTTGCTTCTTGTTTTAGTGTTTCTCAGATACTTTTGTTAGCTTTGGCTTTTTGTTGCTTTCGTTCCCAAGATTTTTCCTACGTGAAAAGAAATTAAATTCTTTGGATTCAACTCTAGATTTCATCATGGATGAATCTGGATCTTATAAATATCCCTTAACTTCAAGGAATTCATAGATAAGTTTCATTTGATTCAGGCAGCATATCTATTTATCCCACCATGTACAATATGGTTTTGATGAAATTAATTGGTTTTTCATTTTGATGAAGTTCATACACAGTGTGGCAACCGAATGAAGAATCTCGATCTTTCACTCAGGAATGGGAGTCGCAAAATCGTAGGATGCCGGTGGTGATGAAGATGACTTGCATGCATCAAAATTAATTTGCATATAATAAAATTGCTCAGCCATGTCACCTGATTCTAGGACAAAACTGATCACTAGCTTGACCACAAGTAAGATTATTCAGAGTTTTTTCTGCTCCTGAGATTTGCCATTAGTTCCTCCTCCCCATGCATTTTCTAATGATATGTTGATAGAAGCTGTACTTATTCCAAACCTAGATTCTAGGCACTCAATCCAATTGTGCTCATCGACAAAGCGATGTTTTGCACGGAAGGAGGCATCTCAACTGATAT